CTTCAAACGTACATGGTATATTAAACATACCAGGGACATACATCTCTGAACTCAATGATTTGATTACAGTTCAAATTATGCATCTCAACTTTGACTGCATACAATTCAGTTTGATTATTTCATCTATACAGTTATACAACCGTTAGTTCCGGCCACGCAAGCTGATTGGTTGAGAGGCGTTCTAACCGCGCTGTTATTTCGCCATAACATCACGTTTTTTTCACAAACACTGTATCACTCTGCTAAGATGCTGTTGCTAAGCAAGGACTTTGACAGCTGTAGGAGACGCTCAAACCATTTGAACGTTTTTACTTCTTACTTTGCCACAAACAGAAAATGGATACTTTTAAGATCACATTTGACTGACAGACCGATTTGGTCAGACTCTGAAGATGAGACTACACTGAATTCCCAAACTGTCATCACCACTGAGCAGCTTTTCAGTCGACAGCTGTGACAGAAGAACATCTAAACAACCTGGAATCAGCCAGAAATGAACCCAATACCATTCACCAAATGTGTAGCCTCATCTTCACAGTCTGACCAAATCAGACTGAACCATAAAAAACTGCTGCAATAAAAAACAAAAAAGCTGCTCAGTGGTGACAACAGTTTCAGAATTTAGTGTAAGGTGCTGGAGAACAAACTGCCGGCTGTACAGCGAGTGGGCGGAGTTCGTTACTCTGACGTAGCCACGAGCTGCTTCTTAAGGAACTATAATTTGGCGGAAGGAATTGCCAACATTAAAACATATTAAATGCCGCGTTCACGGCCCAGTTTATTAATTTCTTACTTTATTTATTTAACTGTTGTATAAAAGCAATAGAACACTCAAGGTTGTGTTCGATCTACGGCGACCAAATCACAGCCGTGATGTTATGTCACACTCCCTCTTGTGTTCTATTGCTTAAATATAGCACAGTACCACTTTTCCAATATATCGTCCAACACAGATACCAATCCCATATTTCTTATTACATAACTACACAGCTAACAATGTTACATCACAGTGTGAGTGTGTGCTACTTTCTTACAGGACTGGAATGGATTAATGCTTTTTTCTGCTGATATCAGCTAATATTCTTCTGATATCAGCTGATATAAGAACAAGGCATTTTTTTAAATCACTGAATACACATGAAGGGCCTGTATAGGAACACCAACAGGCTTTTTTTTATTTTTATGATTGGAAAGATGCTAAAAATGAGCAAATCCATTATGACAAATCAGATTGCCAAGATTCTGCCATTCCCAAATCAAAGTTTTTGAACAGTCATCTTCAGAATACTACATCACAGTGCATCAGTTCACAGTTCAACAAATTTACAAGACTATATGAGGTCAGAGTGAATGAGCTGTAGTGTTTTTACCATGTTTGCAGTGTAGAGTGACAGTCAGACGACTCCTCTCACTGTTCAACTCAATACGGCACTTCTCCACAGAACGCTCCAGAGAGGACAGAGACCTGAACACTGTCAGCATGCTCTGAGAGGGAGAGACAGAGGGAGAGACAGAGGGTACTGATGGGCCTATCAAGTGGTATAGTGACAGGAATTTTACTTGCTATGACAAAAGTATCTTATTTCTGAGGCGTTTCCTGTGCATGATGTTCATTTTTTTATTATTACTAAAATCCTTCATCAAAAAAATATTTTTAAAAAAGTTCATCCGTTGTTATTCGGTGCATACATTATTATTATTTGTCAGGTTAAACACGTGTTCTTGAAACAATGTCATGCATTTGCTTAGACTATATCTGTAACCAGCCTTTCTTCCCAGCTTTGGCTCTTTACTACTGTTTTTTTTTGTGTGCCGACACAAAATAATTCTGCATTATTCTGAATGGGTCAGGGTGGTCGGTAGCCGGAGTGATCAGTAGCCAATGTGGCCGGTAGACTAGTTGTCAAGTTAACATGAGATGTATCCTCTATTATGTGTCTCAGTGCATCAGTATTATCTCTTTGATTCTAAACTTCACATGCTAGTCTGTGAGACCAAAATCAGGTGTTTCAAAAAGGTCTAGGCTGCAGCACAGCAGTGACGGCGAAGTTCAAATTGTTGTCTCACAGAAATCTGAATAGATGGTTCAAAAAAATTATTTAGGTAGACCTGTGAATTGATTTGACTCGTTTATTAAAAACAACCGATTCAAACGAACCAAGATGTTCCAATATAACCGACACTGTTACAGAGCAGTAGTGTGAGGAGTGTCTGGAGCATGAGTGTTACCTTGATGGGCATTTTGCAGCGGAATGTTTGGTCAGGCGGGGTCTGGTAGCGCTGGAAGAAGAGCGGAGAGAGCAGGAAACAGGCAAAAGCTGATCTGGAAGAGTTCACTGCGCGTAGAGTTAACTGCAAAATAGGAAAACGTTAATTAGCATGCACGCACATTCTCACAGACATAGAGGAGGATGAGCTGCATACACAAATGTTGCAATAAGCGCAATGTGCATATAATACGCATAATGCACTAAGCCTTTTAATCAAACTATATTCTTGCACCATATAAGCATCTTCATTTGAGCTTCTGTAAACACACAAACAGCAGACATCAACACTAACCCCATCTTCAACAGGCTCTAAGTAAAGCTCCTCTCCAATCCTTGAAAGGGAGTGTATTGCTTTTGCCAGCACTGCAAAATACAAGTGACATACGATGATGACATAGTGATGACACCCAGAACCATATTCTTATTAAGCAGGTAAATGGTTCTATGCAGAACTCATGGTTCTAAGCAGAACCAGTGACTTTATGAAGGAACCCTTGAACAAAACATCTTTTTAAAGTGTGTAGAACTTTGAAGTTACCTTTGACGTTTCCTCCTGTCGTAACGCAGTCCATCCTGCTGCAGTTCAGGTTGGGGAACAAACACCAAAAGGACGAAGTCGGAGATGCAGCTTCATAAATGCAGCCAAAGGAACTCAAACCAACACCATGAATGCCACAAACGGAGCTGAAGCGGAGACTGAAACACTCAGTTAAGGCGAACGACTGTTCGATCCGGTTATATCCGCTCAATACAAAACCCGCTGCTCTCACGAAGAGACAGTATTAGTGATTAAATTCTGCATGGTAAAGTGTTGTTTATGTATAATATTTCTTATAATAATAATAACTTTGCTCTCAGAACTCAGCTCACTTCTTTCCGTCTCCCCGAGTCGCGCGCTGATCTCGATGGGACCAATCACAGAGCCCCGCGTCACAGAAATGCGACGTAAACAGACGGAGTCTGTGAAGTGTAAACTGTAAATAAATTCCAGCAAAATAAAGATTTTATTGGCGAAGTGAAGGAATATGAGATTTACAGAACTGACTTTATGCATTTGTAGAATACTAAAACAAGTAAAGAAGACGAGGCTGGAATTGGCTTCCTATTCGCCGGCTTCTTGTTCGAATTTTCCCGTTCCACCTTAAATGGCCTGAGGTGCCAGACTGTAACCAGAGCCGGTTTATGAGGAGTCTGGCCCCTTCCTATCCCCCCATTACATCAAAAACAGGACTGCTGAACAGCAGGGGGCGCCCGCGAGGGAGTCCTCAATGAATGGGAGTGAATGGAGCTCAACGGCTAAATCGAAAAGTTAAAATAGTTTCTAATCACTCGCCCAGAACTTTCCTTTAATTTTAGAAAGCAGAAGGATGGATTTCACAAAAAAAAAACCCAAAAAACAAAAAAAAACAAAGAAATCTTCCCTGTATGATTATTTTTTTCCTACAGCAAACGGGTTTTGGGCAGCAGAAGGCGGGCATTACTGCTAGAGCGTGATGATTGATTGGCGAGCGGAGCAGCTCATTGGCTATTCGCGCTCACTGACGTCATGGACGTACATGAGGCGCCGTTTTAAACTCCTACAAGCTCTTAAAAATATAACAGCGGTGTTAAAATGTTTTATGCTGTTCTGTGTTCAGGAAATGATCGCATTCTTTTACATTAAAATGTTTGAGCATTTATAAACTATGATTTTGCTCAAATGCTCCATATCAACCCATTCATTTTGGACTCGCTCGGGAGCGCCCTCTAGCGTTTGAGAAAACCGGGAGACATTGCAGAGTGGCAATTCTCCTCTCTACAAGTTCTCTGATGTAACTACTGCACTATTTAAGGTGGAACGGAAAAAGTCAAACAAGAAGCTGGCTGATAAGAAAGTGACCTCAGCTTCGTGTTTAAGAAGCGTGATGACATGGTCGCGTTCAAAAATGTAAAAAACTGTAATAAGACTACGAGGATCTATAGCACTGCAGAAAATATTTATTTATTTATTTATTTATTTATGTAAATTACAGAACATGCACATGGGTCACTACTGTGCACAAATTATTATAAAGTTCAGAACGTTTAATTAGTATTATTATTATTTTGAACAGTGGCAGTTCTGAAATCAGGGGATACTGCAGCCCCCCTCAGCACCCCCCACTTCCTGCGTCGGTCAAAGGCATACATTACCCTTTGTAAACAGATAAATAGGAACAGGATTGATAATAAAATTGTAAATATGTTTATTGCTCCAAGTATCATTAGCTGTACTAAACCTATGACATTCTATGGAATGATAATAAAAATAAAATATCCATCATCTAAACCGCTTATCCTTCTGGGTCGCGGTGGGGTGCTGGAGCCTATCCCAGCTGTCATGAAAAAAACTTTTGTTCTCATTCAGAACTGTATAATGTAAATATGGGAGAAATAAATTCCAATTGAATCAGAACAAAACAGGCATTGAGTTTCACATTCCTCTAATCTCTCAGTAGAAGAACGTGGAAAGTAATTTTCTAAAAAAAAAAACTTGATGCCAGTGCTCATGGACTAATGTCTAAGGTGCTGACATTTTTTGCTTATCAGCATCTTATTCATTTTCTGTGCTGGCGAACTCTGTGTTTTGCCCACATTGGTCCAGGTTTGCAGTGACAGAGAACTGGAAAAAAAAAGAGAGATGGCACTGGATACAGAGAGATGTTGACACACTCGTCTTTCTAGTCTGTCTGGCTCTATCCATCATAGCTGAACACACCTCTCTGACTTGCCTGGCCTGCATTTCGTTCTCCTGATTCCTCCCTTCTTCGGTGACATTTGTCCGGCATGCTCGGATCCTTCAAGTTGGAATAACAAGGAGCTTCTTTTCTTGAGGAATTGAACTCATGCAAGGATGGATTTCAGTGCTGTGGAGGCACCACTTCTCTGAAGTCACAGAGTGGGGCGTCATGAGGAATATTTCTATAAAACTGGGATGAATATGCCGAATACAACATGACGTGAAGAAACTTCAGACCTAAGACTTGAAGGATTCAAATATACAGATCTTTTATTGTGTTGACGGCCTTTGTGAGTCTGCATAGAGCATGTGAGCCAATCTTTCACTTTCACAATGGCTAAGTCGAGCGCTGTTTCGGACACGCAGGCCTTGCTGCAGTCTATGCTTCAAAAGCTGAAGCTCCAAAACCATTCAGAAAGGAACAGCACACCCACTCAAGAGCAAGCACCTTCTCCAACCATAGAGTTAAATGGTGGGTCTTCACTTGAAAGCACAGTGTACCAGTTTGGTGATTCCAGCAAGCAGCAAGGAACATCTTCCTCTATTTGGACCAACTTGGACAATCCATGGAGGCTCCAGTCACCTGATCAGCCTCACCTAGAACAATCCACTGAAGGGATTCTGGCTACACTTGCACCAGATGTCATTTCTGATGGTGAGATGCCCAGATGGGAGAGGAAGCAGCTAAAAATTTCACATAGTAAGGTGAGTGATGACAGCTCTAGCCTGTCCTCCTTCAGTACAACAGAAAACACCCTCAACTCCACCGACCTTTCAACCCCATCGCCCACATCATCCATCCCGTCCCGGAGAACATCAGAGGAACACAGTGACCACAGTGGAGTGTGCAGTGAAGGTGTTGGGGACATAAGAAAGGACAGCATCAATGTTCCTGATAAAATAATGCGAACACGCACTTCAAGGACAAGTAAGAAGAAATGGGAAGATCCAGGAAAGAAGAGATGGACCCAGAAGGTGAAGGAAAGATGGAAGGAGCGGCACAAGAAAGACCGTGATGGCAAACAGAAACAAGAGCCGAACGATGTGGCAAAAGTGAGTTTTGCTCCTGTTTGATCCCTACTCTAACTTTAAAATACTTACAGAAATATAAAATGTGGAAAATATAAACATGACAGACAATAACATAAGATACAAGTGTTGGTTTGTTTAATTCAACTGGAGAAATCAAGCTATTTTGTGAAATTATGAAATCTTTTTGTACTTTTATACTTTTAGCATCAGAATGTGTTAATTAATACATTTAGTATTATTGTTACACTTGTAGCATTACTACCTGTATTAAAGGGGAATTCCACCAATTTCTGCAATTTTTTTGCAAGTTTCAATAACTGAGATGTAAACAAAGATTTGATGTGAAATGGTTCATTGTAGAGAAACAGACATGCGTTTCTTAATAGTGGTGGTGATAGGAACCAATGTTTTACAGTGTCGTGCACTTCTTCTGTTCTTCTATGATAGCTTCTGTTTTTGCATGTTTGTTATAATTAATTGTTTCAGATCTTCCAACTTTCAAACAAAAAGACAACCTGAGTAAACACAAAAAATACAGTTTTTAAATGATCCTTTTGTTCATTGAAGGAAAAAAGTTAACCAGCACCAACTGGCCTTGTGTGAAAAAGTAATTGCCCCCTTACTAACTCAATCAACTAACTTTAGTTGATATCTGGGATCGATTAAGCTGGATACACCCAGACAGCCATGTTGAAACTAAACATCACATAAATAGAACAGCTCCATCAATGTGAAGAAGACTAAAAGGTCTCAACAAGCAGCACACTACGCCGTGATCAAAAGAAATCTCAGAAGAGATGAGAAAGAAAGTTATTGCAATATCTCAGTTGGAAAAGGGTGACAAAGCGATTCCAGTAAACCAAAATGAGAGCCATTATCTCCATATGGAGAAAACTTGGGACAATGATGAATCTTCCCAGAAATGGCCAGCCTACTAAAAGTCCTCCAAGAGCACAGCTACGACTCATTTAGTAAACCAGACGAACATCTAAAGAACTGCAGGCCTGGCTCATCTCAGATAAGGTCAGCATGTATCATATTTGCCACCTTGATGAATAATATTCTCTGGACTGATGAGATGAAAGTGGAATGTTTTGGAAGAATGGGTGCCATTACATCTGGCATAAAGCTAACACTACATTCCATAATAAGAATGTCATACCAACAGTCAAACATGGTGGCGGCAGTGTGATGGTGTGTGGATGCTTTGCTGCTTCAAGACCTGGGTGACTAGCCAAAACTGATAAAAACTATGTATCCTGGTATCTACCACAAAATCCTACAGGAGAATGTCCAGTCCATGATCCAAAGCTTAAGCACAGTTGTGTTATGCATCAAGATAACGATCCCAAGAACAAGAGCCACCTCTGAATGGCTCAAAGAAAAACCAAAAAAAATTAAGAGTTTGGAGTTGCCTAGTCAAAGTCCTGACTTAAACCCCACTGAGATGCTGTCGCAGGACCTTAAATGGCTAGTTCATACTCAAATACCCCCAGTGTGGCTGAATTAAAGCAACTCTGCAAAGAAGTGGGGGCAAAATTCCTCCAAAGTGATGTAAAATCTGATCTCCAGTTTTGGAAAGCATTTGGTTGCCATTGTTGCTGCTAAAAATTGTTTTGTGTTTCCTCATGTTCTCCATGTCTTCTAATACATTTCATGTAAGCGTGACACTAACAGCAAACCGGGAGGGGGCAAACACTTTTTCACACAACTTTTTACACTACACAAAATGATCAGTGAACCAACATGTGTCTTCTGAGTTTTCATACATAACGTTGACAATAGTGGTCAATCAATAGTGGTAAAATGTGTTTGACCCTTCATGGCAAATGAAAACATCTTAAATCTAGTCCGTGTATCTTACATTTCTCATGTAGATTGTTGTGAGAACATTATAAGATGGATTCAACCTAGTTTTACATGTTGTTGCTTGTTTTTAGGTAATTTAAAATCATTTTGTCACATTATATAATTTTGTTTCAAGAAATAATGCTCGAACATGATTTTTCATAGTTAATGTTCAATATACTTTTTTTTTAGAATGACCACTGCCCAGCCCCTACAAAATCCAGTGACGACAACACAACTGCTACACTTAGTGAACAAAACATCAGTGACAACAGCACAATTGCTACACTTAATGAACAAAACACCATCCACCCTGAACCAATCAACAATGGACTGGATGAAGCCCCTCCCAGCCCACTGGATCATATGAGGTAAATACAAATACATCAGCGATGACATCTCTTTAGGTTGAAATATGAATCAGACGTAGTTATCATACCACAGCTGTCATCAGCAAGAACACCTCTGTCAGCCTCTCTGCTGAAACCAACACACCCTCAGAATATATGTGTGCGTAAGTGAGTGACAAAGACTGAAAATAACATCGAGAGTTTTAAGACAGTGAAAGAGACAGTGAGTATTAAGGGTGAATGAAACAAATCAAACAAATGTTTTTGTTGTTTGTTTATACACTTTGTAAAGATTGTTTTTTACTGTATTTTGTAGAATAATACTGATTACCATGGGCTTTTCATTCAATCAGTGCTCCCCCACCATTAAATAGGCCAGACAACACGTGAGTTTGACTAGGTGGGCTGCCTGGACTATTTAATGGTGGAGGAAATACTAATAGATAAGACGTAGACATTAGCATGTAACTGGCAGGCTAACGTTTGCTTCCTGTTCGGTTTTTAGGTGGCATTTGTGGACATATGATTTTAGGTGGTTTTGTTAAAATATGGTGTTTATTCCTGAAAAGGTGGTAAGAGAAGGCATAAAACAAGCGTGGTGTTTCCTCTTTACTGTTTTTCCAATGAGAAAACCAGAGATAGCACCCCCTTCTGGATGTCTGCAGAGATAACCAATCAGCTTCCTAGCATTCTTCAAACCATAGTAATCAAGAGCAGATATATTTAGACTTTGGTTTAAAGAACTATTAAAACTATTCCTGTAAAGCTTTCCTGCAAGGCACTTGAATATTTTTGATACACTGACAATGTACGCCTGACAACACAGGTAGCTTCGAAGAGTCTCCCAGTTTTAAAATAATCTACAGTTAGCCATTAGCCATTAGCCTGATTTTGGTGGAGTTTATAAGGATAGTCAGTGATTTATAGTGTTACTGAGAGGAATCTATAACATTGTATTATATTCACTGAAATATCACCAATCATTGAATGATTGACTCACAAAATGTAACTGTAACATAGTCAACTCTTTAAGTGTAGGCCTTAAGGTTTGCACTAGCTAATAATACTAATAGTCAAGTCAAGGTTACAACAAACAGAAACAGTCAGAATTCACTTTGTTCACTTCACTGAACAACAGATGGCAATGACTGCATACTCAATCCTCTGTTTCCTTGCAGTGAAAGCATATTTTCTTTTGGCTCTTTTAACCTGATGGAAGAGATTTTCGCTGGTAAGGAGTGGGCCAACTTCTTCCAAACCAGCACCTGCAGCCAACCGGAGTCCCCCTGCATCACAGCAGACAAAACAATGGAGTCGCCAAGCAGTATTAGCCAATCACCTCACAGGGAGCACACAACAGGCAACCTTTGGGATTACCAAGAGGCTTCATCACAAATGAACTCTGAAAGTTTTCAGCAAGACATGGACATCACTGAACAAACAAGGACTTCAGATTTTAGTCTAGCTTTGTCTCAAACCTTTGAGTTCCTCAAAGACCAGTCAGAACTCTTTGCCTCAAACCAAACACAGAGCATGGACCTCGGTCTGAGCCAATCAGAAAACGATGATCAAACAAAATACCAACCCCAGTTATTGGACCCTCATCGAAACTATCAACAAAATACAGCAGAAGCAAGTTATCATCAGTTACTGTCCAGTGAACAAAATCTTAACCAGTCGCAGCAATCTGACCCAAACCATACACAACCTGAAAGTGTGCATAAGGAATTTCTCCCCCTTTTGGACTTATCATATCTGCAGGTAAGACCTGGAATAGTTACAGTCAAATGTAAAAGTTTGTGCAAATGACATGTTTTCTTGATTTTCTAAGTGAAAATAAGTTAACACACCCTCTACAGAGAACACACTGTACTGCATAATTCTAACTATTTGCTGATTTTAACATATTTAGGAGAAAAGCGTGAAATGCAGCCTGTGCAAAAGTTAGATTTCATTCTTTCCAATATGTTAAACTCAGTAAATAAATAGAAATTATGCCCTAAATTTTGCTTTATTCTGTGTAGAGGGTGTTTTAAATTTTAACTTGCAAAATCAAACAAAATGAAAAAAAAATATATAATTTCACCTGAATTATTCAAACTTTTGCATGACTGTAGTGTAGTTTTGTTATTAGGGTCAAAAATGAAGCAAAAATGCCCTCAAAAAATGCCCCAGCTATGTAAATGTATGGAGCAATAATGCCTCTAATATGAATTCCATTTAATACATCCTCTTACATCATAAAAGTGTTAATTACTCATACTGGTAGAAACTTTAAATGCCTTGAGGGCTGGTGTGATTTACAATCATTTTTACAGAATTTCATTTGGATGGGCATGCAAATTGGGTCTCAAGCAAGGATCATATTTAACTTTTATAACCATTTATGTACTAAAAATTGTGGTCTGTAAGGGTATTCGGAAAGAGACCGTGTGCTATGATCTTACAGACTTGCATGACAGTATGGCACTGCAATTAAAAACACATGAATGAATAAGCAAGAGAGACTAGGACAAGAGAGACTAAGTCTTTGAATGTAAATCCTTCTGTTATGAAACTTAACCAGCTTATTGTCCCTCTGGAGACCTCTGTGGACTTGGCTGATAGTTGAAGATGGGGAATTACAAAATGAGTGCAGAGGGTGTTTTGTTGGGATCTTGTGCAGAATTGTGACTAGAGCTTCAGATACCAGTACTAGTACCAGAACTTCAGTAGCAATTACTGAGTGATAGCTTCTTTTAGTGTACAAAGTAAGACTGAGTATGACTTAAACCACATGAGTGTGACGTGCTGGATGTGGGTATATTTACTGACCACAACAGACTGCAGACTAATCAAGTAGTGGTAACGTTAATAGCATGCATATGAAATGTAATATAGACAGCCAATCAGCAGAACGACAATTTTTCAATACTTAGTACAGGGAGATTCATTCGAAAGAGGCCCTGAATATTCTGTTGTAACTCCCGTTAGGATGAAGCAATCTGAACCAAAATAATATGCTACATTCCTTGATGTATGTGTAACAGATTACACTGGAACACTGGAAGTGATCTCTGTTTTCGGTCAGACACATGAAGGGGTACGGGGGTATACACCCGGAAGTTGCAAACAGAGGTTAAACGCCATGATGGCTGTCCAGCACCTACTTCATTGCTCCGATGCAGGGGCTTCCTGGCTTGTTCGAAGCTCCATATACTGAGGAGCATACTGAACGTGTTTCATTCAGATCGCTTCGTCCTAGCGAGAGTTATTACAGAATATTCGGGGCCTCTTTCAAGTGAATCTCCCTGTACTATTCAATCAATTTGGTACTGTGAAAGTATTGTAAACACGATAAATGATGTAGACAAGTTAGATAGAAAGACAACACCCTGAAGATGATACCGCTAATCAATGCTCAGTAAGTTTATCAAAGATGATTCACTTTTTGGCCTATGTTAAAAAGGTTGAAGAGGTCCCAGTGGTCAACATTTTTTCCAGATTCTTCTACAATTCAGTGATTTTTACAGTAAATGTCTAAACTTCACAGCAGATGATTTACTCAAGATGAGCATATCATTGAAGCGCTCACTTGTGAATTGCTTTTACACACTCCATTACTATGTTATCAACATTTCCTTTTCTTTATGTTTGCCTCTCCTCATCTCACTTTGTCAGCCAAAGGACAGTTCTTCTCTGAGGAAGCTTGGGAGTCGAAAGAGAGGACACTGCACGCTGAGGAGGGGTTCCAGTGATCGAGGCGGATCAGAGACAGGAGAAGTGGATGAGTGGAGAGATAATGCACCTCTCTATTCCCTACGTCCAGCTCCCAGCCTTTCACCTGCTTCCTCCATCTCCTCTCTCCAGCACTCCATTTCCCAAGATTCTGAGTCGTCTGCCTCTACAGAAACTGTAGTCAAAAAGGTAAAGAGGCTCATGAAAGGGGCCCAGTAGTTCACAGTCATTGTAACTGGGCTTATATGTCCTCAAATATACACTGGTTCGTAAACTATATACATTATCCATACTCTTAGTGACAGCTGCTCATAATATTGGATGGGAGGGCTAAAAAGAGTAATGCCATCAATAGCTCACATACTGTAGCATCCCATTTCAAAGCCCCTTCCCAGCCACAGCAATGAAACAATGAAAAGAGCTGTGTAGCTAGCCATCAGTTAAATTTATATACATATGGACATATTGTTACTGTTGTGCAAAAACCATGTACCTCCACTTTTGTTGTTTGTCTTTTTTGCATAATTTGAAAACTCCAGCTACTCTTTGTATTATGATGATTTTTTAAGATGAAGGGACCAATAGAATGACCCAAAATAGCTTGGAAAAAAATCTTGTTACATTAACTTTTATTATGAGTTAAGAAAGTTTTTTCCTTCTTCAGCAAAATTACAATTTTAGAGATACAAGGTTTCGTTCTGACAGCGGCAATATATACCATTAACAACTGGCAAACTAAAATCAAGCTACTACAACAATTACACTATATTTCACAGCAAGCTCAAATCACTACTGAATGCCTGTAAAACAGCAGTATGGAACGCAAAAATATTTTACCTTAATGCCTATTAAAAGCAGTAATAGGCTTCAAATGTCAGGGTATAACGCTCTACATATCCATGTACAGCTGCTGTAGCACCACTGTTAGCTTGGAGCTAACATAATATTAAGAATGCTATGGGTGCTAAGTTTGCATTATTGCAGTTGGAAATTTGATAAAAACAGGCTTTTTTTATGGAGTTTATGGAAACTGAAATGAGTTTTGGGTGTCACATTGTTCTATATGCAAAGCTTAAAATTCAATGTAAAAGGTAAAGAGGTAACACCTCTGCCTTCTACGCTGTAGACTGGAGTTCAATCCCCTGCCTGGGTAAGCACCCTATACTATACCAATAAGAGTCCTTGGGCAAGACTCCTAACGCTACATTTGCCTACCTGTGTAAAATGATCAAATTGTAAGTCGCTCTGGATAAGAGCGCTTGCCAAATGCCGTAAATGTAAATGTAAAATACGAACTTTCAAATTCAGATTTTTGCATTTAACTTGACATTTCTAGTGGCATGAATCTAACTCTTTACATTTCTTTAAAGCGGCACTATGTAAGTTTTTTGTTAAAATTGAAAAAAGTAGCATTAGTCAGGAGGAAAAATAAACACACTAACGTGGTTCTGTGAGCTCTGTAAAGCCTGAGATAATCGTTTAAAAATGTAAGGCGTCGGGTCAGGTTTCCAGAGTTTTGTGGACCACGTCATACTTCATGTAATGGTGTCACATGCATAGGTTCAAAAAGAACGTTGCCCCCATCTCAGCCAGCTCTTATTTTTTCACAACCTCTTGGTGGTGCTATTGTTCATGAATCCACAGACATCCAAAATATTCACCCTCTAGTCATTGGTTAACAGCAAGTAAAACAATGCAGGCACAAAAAATGAAACTATTTTTGTTTTACAGAGAATACACAGTGTTTTAAAACTCCTGCACTGCTGCTGTGCTTGATATATTTAAACCAGTTAATCACCCACTAGTATGTCACTAGAAAAGTCCAATATCCAAATAGTATCTGGTTAGCTGTGGTCATATGGTGGTCCCATTGCACTGATGGATGAAAGGGGCTGATAAATTGTGCAGTAACAGATGGGCTACATTCAGTAACTGTAAACCTACAAATATATGTAAAAATGCATTCAAATGTTTTATTGTTCTGTAAAAATAAGCTCACACATCGTCTACAGGGAACAAACTTGAATATGGCATGTATCTGCAAATTTTACTGCTTAATTTCTATTTATTTACTGAGTTTAATATCTTTGTTAATATCACTGTTAAATTCAGCAAATAAACAGTAACTGTGCATTAAAATGTGACGTGTGTTCTCTGTAGAGAACGTTCAATTATTTTCACTTAAAGAAACAACAAAACATCATTTGACCAGGGGTGCTCAAACTTTTGCATATGATTGTATATAGCACATATATCTCATTTTTTTCCTCATCTTTCCTATCAGAGGAGGCTGGAAAACACCCGTCGTGTGCGTTTTGCAGAGGAAGTGATCTTTCTGCCACCCCTAGTTCTGTCTGAGGATTACGATGACGGCGACGATGATTATGATAATGAAGAAGAAGGCGAGGCAAGTGATGAAGATGACGACGATGTTCCAGAAGAGCCGCAGTCTCGCCCCTCCGTTCCGAACTGGATTGTGGCACTCAGGACCAAGACAAAGAGGAGGCCCAAACTTAAACTTCCACAAATGGCAAGCATGCACACGAAGTTCAAAAGCTCAAAATCATAGTCTGTCTGAAAATATCGCTGTTAACCTCTTTAAATACACTAAATGTCCAAAGGTTTTAATAAACCTTTTACTTTAATAAACCTTTTAATAAACATTAATTCGACTAATTTGACGTGCACCCATTGCTGACACACAGCGTGTATAATCTCAATAGCAAAGCATTGACCAAAAGAATAGGGTGATCTGGAGCAGCCACTCATGAGCCTAAGGTCACCATGTCCAATGCCAAGCACAGACTAGAGGGGTATAAAGCCCCCATCATTGGGCTGTGAAGCAGTGGAACTGCATGCTCTGGAGTGATGGAACTCCATCCAGTGTCTTCGGGACAAGCACGACTGATCCAGAACTGACCGCTCAACATAAGTACCCGACCACACTAATGCTTTTGTGGCTGAATGCCATTCAATTCCCACAGTTCTGTTCCAACATCTAGTGTTCTCAGAAGAGTCGAGGCTGTTACTGCAGCAAAGGGAGACAACCTGTCACGTACAATGCACTTCTGTAATATTCGTGCTGAACTACAGGAAAAACCCTGTAAATGCAGTTGCAGTGAACTATGAGCAGAAGTGTGGTCAACACTGGTCAGTTCACTCTGCACAGGTTTATATACCAGGTATAAACTAAAGTCATAACTTGTTAGGGAAAGGTGTGAAATGACTCACAATGAGAGAGCAAAACAGGTAAAACTGCAGTTTATTAACTTGTACATATGTAAACAAACTGTTTAAAGAGAATTTGATGAATAATCAAGTACTTATGAAAATGAAAAGACCTTGCTGGGAAATATGTAGAAGAAAGCAACACCAATTATCACAGAAAACACTCAGCTTTCAACTCCTAGACCCTTTTAACCCTGTCAGAAGAGAGTGCTGCAAGCGGTGTCTTCAAAATGTATCATTCATGGTTTTTGTGCAGATTGTGTGTGTATTTACTAAACGTATTTCTTAGCAAAGTTCTATAAAAATGTTAACCAAACAAGGTTTGGATGGTTAAAAATGGCAACCAGACCACGCTTAATATAGGAATTACAAACATGCAGCTATTCTAAGATCTGTGATACACTAAACACAGAAAGACGTCTGACTATAATGCATAGAGATAAGCGGCCTAACACATCCGGCACTACCACAGGGTCTTTGCACATAGTTAAAGAAGCAGTATGTAGTATTTACCTATGTTTTCCTGGACAATTCACACATATCTGTTCACTACTGAGCACATGGTGTCTTACATGCCTTGTTGTAAGATCAGAAGCCAAAGTAATCCACAGTTTTAACCAATTCAAAGTTGGTTTTCCAGCTTAGACCTGCATATTGTTACTGTTGGGAAAAATCCTTGTTTTTTTATATCATTTGTAAGCACCAGCTGCACTTTCCATTGTGTGAGAATTTCATGATGGGCTGACAGAAATGGTCAAAAATTACTTGGAAGAAAGTCTTCCATTATAAGTCCATTTTTATTTTGTTTTTCCTGAAAATGTACCATTTTGGAGATACAAGGTTTTGTCCTTTTTGTATGTATCACATCTGCCAATTATTCTGATTCTGGTTTCTTCTAGTGTGGTGATTAAATAAATTTAGTTCCTTTAAGTACATTTCATTTATAAAAAAAGACCACAATAATTTTACATAGAATTATGTTTTTTTAGGGAGAGTACACAATAGGGTGTGTTAGGAATGTAAGAATATGTAATGTAAGACTTAATGTAACATGAATGTTTAATGTTGGCAGTAATGCCTTTATCCTCTGGGGTCATTGTATAAAGGGCAGGGAGGTCACTTCACGGGTGAACAAAGTACAAAAATGTAGAATATAAGTGGAAATACTTTTCAGTAAATTGTCACTTGAGTAAAAGTATTTTATCAATACTTTGACTGGGGTTAAAGTACAAATCAGCTGAATGATATACTTTTGAAATGTATAAGTATCAAAAGTAAAAGTGATGCGAGTTATTATAGATGCTGTATTATTCTGATAAAAGGTCTCATCAGTCTCATCTCAAGGAGACTGTTTATCAGGATAACAACATAATATCTGTAATGACTCACAATCCTTTTTACTTTTGATATTTAAGTATATTTAAGCGCAAGTACTTTGTCCAGCACTGTATCCAATAGAATAAGCGCCAGAGTCATCAGAGTTCTTCACCTCCTCTTTGAGCATCTGGCTCCCCATGTGGAGTTCATGACTTTCTGACCAACTCACCGAACCAGAAACCTGAGAGAAAAAAAACATACTTTGCTTCTGTATTCTGAATACATATTCCATGTATTCCATTACATCCCGAACCTGATTATTAAAATAAAATAAAATGTTTAAAAATTTCTGCATAAGGAATTTATTAAGATGTAAACAAGGTCATTCAGAGTGGTTTGATGTGAAATACTCTGCTCTATAAAAACTTACCAAGCCAGAATTCACACTTATGGTGATAGGAACCAGACGTCTGAATCATCTATTCCTCCAAAAGCTCCCTCACAGACAGTTATAATACTAAATAATTATAAACACTTTGCCTGATGTCTGAGATATTGTTTTACAGTAGTCCTGAGATAAAGATTTGGCCTAAAACATTATAAAAATACAGTTATGGCAGAGCGGCACAAGCAATTTTATCATTATCAACATTACATATAAAATATATACACTAAGAAGACATGTAACTTCACTGGTGGTTTGGATAGTAAATAAAACGGCTATATTTGTGTTTTAGATATTAGTTTCTGTCACCACCAGTGTAAAGAAATCAGAGTCTGTAAGTTTCTCTACAATGAACGATTTCACACCAAACCATTCTGAATGACTTTATTTGCATCTCAACAATTGAACTGAAGAAATGTAAAAAAATTGGCGGAATCGCCTTTAACGTAAAAAAAAATATATATATAAAAATATATACAAACTCACCTCTTCAAATTTCTTTGCTTTGTATTGTTCGGAACCTTTCAGGAAGTTTAACAGGATGATGTCGCAGAAGATTGTTGCCTGCAGCCAATAAGAATTACGACAAGTGTTTTAGAGTGATGGAGAGTGAAGTTAACATGGTAGTCAATGCAGTGTGCAGGTCCTTAATACATATGTGATAAAATACTTAACAAGACAAGACCATCAAACTGATGATAGAGTCTTTGTGTGGAGACAGGCTGGAGAAGAACTTCAACCAGACTGCAGTAAGTATAAAACACTGAGGTGGAAATGTCAAAGCTGTTTTTTGCTGTGGTGGTGAGCATTTATGGCGGTGATCTTACCAAACCCACTGAGGTGCAGGCTGCCACGATATTGATCAGTGTTGGGACTATGTAAAATTTTCCAGCCTAGAAAAAGATAAACTGAGTCACAAACGTATATCTGCACATTAACTGTCCTCATACACACAGGCACATTTACTCACATTGCCAGACACAAGTATGTCAAAGCGGATGGCAAAAGCTTTATGAAGTGTCCGATACTCCCGACCATCTTCTGACATGTAGTACTTTGCAAATCTGAAATAAAAAATAAACAAATGGTCTAATTACTATCATTCAACCATGAAATTGTTGATCTTACTTAACAAATGCATGTAAGTCGGTGAAAATGAGAGAAAATTAGTGAAAATGCCTGAAACCCTTCATTCTTCCAATCTTCTTCCCATGACGGAATGTTCACAATTCCCTCCACCACCCCATCTCCTCCCTGTTCCTTAGTCCTACATCAGTCTACCGACAGGGGGGATCTGGCCTTCTAGCTACAGGCAGAAGCTGCCCAGAACTCCAGCCCAAGTTCTTCCCTCCCTCAGTCTTACCTCATACTACCACCACATGCTGAAGGCATGGTCTGAACTCAAAAAATGAAATTGAGTGAGTCGTCAGATTTACTTTATAAGTGTTTGTTGGTCAATGCAATCTTGTTGAGTACAACTTGACTTCTTTCCTACTGGCTTCTTGCATCGTCTACTTGCAGACTGTTTTAGTTGGTTTACTCTCCCTCTTCATGTTGTCCTTTGTCCTGGCCTAACTTCCATTGTGTGTGCATCTTCCTTATACACCATGGTAAACCTCCTAGCCACACTGTCGTTGGCAGTAAATGCAAGTGACCATATAACCTACTGCTGAGCGTAATTGTATAACAGCTCATTAGCACAGTAATAACTTAGATCTAACTTAATCCTATTACCTTTATGCTCTTTTCTATGAGGGTTCAATTGAATTCAATCAGTATATCGGTGGTCGGAAGAAAACCTTGTATTTCCAAAATGATAACTTTACAGGAAGAGGAAAAAAATCTACTTTACTTTTAATGTAAGTCAATGGAACCAGTCATTTTAGGTCATTTTTTTGGTCCATTCTTCATGAAATTTGCACACAATTTAAAGGGCGACAGGCATTTTCAAATTATGTCAAAAACATAAAGGTTTTCTTCTGACAGCAGCGATATATTACTCAAATTGGCATTTTAAAAAGCCACTTAAACTGTTGCGTGGAACGACTGGACATAACATTTTTAATTAAATCTAACATTTTATGTTTGGGTATAAAAATAAAAATAATCCAGTTATTTAGTATTTCCTTAAAGGGGAACTCCACCGACTTTTCGGAAAAAAAACCACACAATAATTCAATGGTTAAGATGTAAACAAAGCCATTCAGAGTGGTTTGGTGTGAAATGCTTTGTTGCAGAGAAACTTGCCAAGTCAAAATTTTTTACAGAGGTGGTGATTGGAACCAGATTTCTGAAGAGTTTATTGCCTTTGAAAGCTCCTTCTCAGAGAGCTGTTACATCAGATTAATTAGATATATGCTGCCTGATGTCTGACTAATTGTTTTACTATAGTTTTGTGATGAAGTTTTGGCTTAAAATGTATTTTATTCCTTTTAATTTAATTAATTTGTGGTGAAGGGGTCAAAGGAAAATAATATTTATTTATTTTTTTCACATTTATGACTATTTTACCATCATCATCATTACATCCAAAACCTCAGAAGTCACGTGTAGGTTCACTGCTGGTTTGGATAGTAAATAAAATGGCTATATTTGTGTTGTAAACATTGTGACCCCTGGTTCCTATCACCACCACTGTAAAGAAATCTGAGCCTCTACAATGAACCACTTCAGCCCAAACCACTCTGAATGGCTGTTTACATCTCAATGACTGAATTATTCATCAATTAACATTTAATTTTTTTGTGTGTTGGTGCACTTTGTAGTTAAAGATTGTAGTCCATCTGTTTTTCTGTGTGATTTGTTAGCCCCATTTTACCTCATTCACCAATGGTCAGGACCCCCACAGGACCACCACAGAGCAGGTATTATTTGTGTGGTGAATCATTCTCAGCACTGCAGTGACTCTGACATGGTAGTGAAATGACACTACTATGTAACTGTAAAGGGAAGCTTACAAATTATGCAGAGAAACAGATGGACTATAATCTGTAACTGTAGAACTACAAAGTGCACCTACAGCATTGTGCAGAAGTCAGAGACCACCCTTTCATTTGAATGATCATTGAGTACAATTTATTCATTTCTAAGTTTAAATAAATATTAAATATATCAGTGTATAAAAATATTTAAACGAAAATTACACAGAAGTGTCAACAACTCGATATAATATCAATATTTCAGCATTTATTGTGTCCACACTTTAATATTATTACAGCTCGCCATCTTTTCAGGAGACTTGCTTTCAGTTTTTCAAACAAATATGGATTTTTCCACACCTCTAAAGTTCAGTCTTAGAAGTTAGTAGCATTTTCTACTTTTCACCATCCAAATAATTCCAACTAGAAATTTATATTCATCACTTTAAAAAACCGTACTCCCTTCCTGACAGCTACACAGAAACAGATCCTAAGCAAGAGTAGAGTTTGACTTTCTCCTTTAAATTTTGTAAACTCTCTTTTTTTCAGTTATTTTCTTTTTACTTTCCCCGTTTTTGTTTCATATATGAAAAATGAATAACTTCTACTCATTTTGACTGGAAATGATATCAATAAAAAAATGGTCACTGACTTATGAACAGTACTGTATGTGGCTCGTGGACCTGATAAAATGGACAGTGAAACAATGTGGCCGGTGAGTATAGGTGTAGGTGGTGTTTGTCTGAACAGTACTGCTACCTGAAGTTGAATCCCTTGGAGAAGCTATTGTGTTTAAAAGCAGAGTCCAGCTGTGTGAAGCTGTATTTGGGTAGGCACTTCTTCTCACCCAGGTCCAAATTACATACCCAGCCTATATTTATCCCAATTTCTCCTCCCTGAATGCACACAAACACATACACATACATGTAAAGACATTGCTGCTGATTTATGGTATAACTAAAAATGGCACTTTTACTCATTCAATCATTCAGTGACTGGCCCTCATTGGCCAGACAGAGAAGGGCACAAGCCCATCCTTAAAGCAATGGTTCAGCCCAAAATCAAATGTACGCAATTTATCTCTTAGCCTAAATGCAGTCAGTCAGTCAAGACATGTTTGGTGTTTCAAGGTAGAACAAGGCTAATGTAGCTAACAAGTAATGGGCATGTATAGCCACCAGTTAGCACTGTGAGAACAGCATGGCTAAATGCCTATAAAGTGTTAGCTACATTAACCTTGTAGCTCCAGTGCAAAACTAAATGACCCTTATAGCAAAACTTTAGACAGTCCAGTTAAAAGCTTTTTTTATGGTATTAATGTTTTTTTTAATTTTAGTTTTAACATTGTTCCTTGTATTTTAAATGAACATAGGTCAAACTATAGGTTTTCTGTAATTAACATATTTTTAAAATACTTTTTTTCCAGTTGGCATCGTGTAACGCAAACAAAACCATGGCAACAATTGTTTATCCACTGTCTTCTGCATGCTAAGCCATGTATAAAATAGAAATGAAGATATTTCATTGTCTTTTGAAAGTAGCTCAATTGAGAATTTACAGCTTTTTATTTTTTTCCCTTCATTTTCTCCCCCATTTAGTCTTTGCCAATTCCCCATCACACAATGCCACCAAACTAGGAGGGTAAGGGCTTCGTCTGAGACATGTGAAGCACCACAGTGGACTCACCATGTGCTTTTCTTCATAGATCCTCAGAAAATAGGTAAAAGGAAGTCAAGTGATGTCATCAGTGTGATTTTTATTTCAAAATAAGAGATTTTTTTGTTACGCAGTAACACAAGTGACATGACTCCTGGGCACCACAGCTTTCATTATACATTTTTAATATTTATTTGGGATTTGTTTTCTTTGTCTCGTTTAAATCATATATTTCATAGTCATGTTTAGATTATTGTAGTTAAAATTGTAGTAAAACATGTTTTTTACCTTTCATATGGCACTCATCTTGTGAGGATGAGCACTTCTGTGGTGCTTGGAATTCTATATAATTGATTTAAAAACCAATATTGCTAAATTGATGGCTCAAAAATGTGTAATTGTTAAAATAACTTATTGCTTTATTTTAAAATATAAATAAATTGTAACCCTCTGTATATCTGTAAATGCTAGGGACACAAAAATGGACGTTTATGTAGAATGACTTGCATCACTGGTCATCAAGCTTGCAAACTCCCGATGTTACAAGGAACGCTTAGACAGTTGCGCCACTCAGGAGCCCAAAATGACAGATTTATATGCCTACAGACAAGCTGTTAAACTGCATACTACAATACTAAATAGCATGTTCAAAACAGCAATGGCACCACTGGAGGTGTGCTAATTTAATGTCCGACCAAACATCAGAGAACAGAGCTTAAAACAGGATTGTCCAGTCCAAAACCTGACATCTGGCAACCCTAGATTGGCTATATTAAGTGTGCAAACTTGATTTTTGGCCAAATCATCGCTATAAGAAACAGGGATAACATTGACCTACAATTGTGAAAAACATAAAGACCAAAGAACGGCATCTTCTAAAAAAGCAGAGAAAGAGATAGAGGGAAGCGTAGGACTCAACTGTCGATGCAATGTTGGAGAACTCTACACCGGCATACTTGAGCACGTCTCCTACTCGGAAGATGGGACAGGACGTGTCATGAACAGGGTGGTGCAGACATGTGTTCTTATTTTCCATCTTGGGTCTGATGTTCCCTCTGAGACAGAGAAAATGCTCATTTAGAGGTGAATAATAGGCAGGACTTTTCACTCTCTCATGAATTTGCATTAGCATCTCACCGGGTGACGTTAAAGCGCGGGAAGCGAATGCTGTTCTTGATGAAGATGGTGAAGTTTTCAGCCTCTTTCATGGGTGGCCTGAGAAAGACCATCAGACACAGCAGGGAAACTTAGGTTAAAGTACTAGTACACTTAGTTCAAAGAAAAAGGCCTCAAACAAAGTCAACGTCCATCTCCCCCAGGATGGATCTGCGTAGACGTTTATTACAGATCACTATCATTATGTCAACATAGAAAACTATTTTATTTATGAGCTATACAGAGTGTACTGGAGGAACTTTTAGTCGATCTGTAAGTCCATGCAGATAAATGCTGAATTTGCATTAGGAAATCCTTCAAGTTGCAATATCTTGATTTTTTTGTATAAATTATGTCCCCAAAGAGTTTGCAGATATGTATCAGAAAAACATTCCTGTCAAAAGTTTGGAGACATCTACTTTTTCTAAGTCTTTGTAAGTGTTTTATGAGTTTTATGAGATATGTTTTCTCTCTTGGTGAGGGGGCGGGTACAGCAAAGATATAACAGTGGTCTTAAGATCAAATTATGTGCATTAAATGAGTTTTAATTGTACAGTATATTGACTTTCCCAAAGAAAAGGGGCATTGTACCTTTTCACATTCTAACATCTTGAAATAGAACAATAATATAAAAAGCCTGGAGTTAAGACAGGATGTATGGAATATATGGAGTCAAATGGGAAAAAAGTAGCTGCAATGGAATACGGTACACTTATGTTTCCTAACTAAAGGAAGGTACCACCCTAGTGACAGTTCAATACCTTTTTACTGAGAGTGAACCAAGCTGTATGAGCTCTTTTGTCAGAGCGGCTCGACTGGGTTGTACAGTTGTATACGAAAATTTGGGCCTTGTTTTAATTACGTTTTGTTGATTTTTTTAATGAAAAAAGTTCACATACTGTTTATTTGCTGAATTTAAAATAAAAAAAAAACATAAAATGTGGCCTGTGCAAATGTTATGGCACATTTTATGTTATGTTCGATAAAATAAGAAGAAATTATGAGCTAAAATTAGCAGAAAAATGTAAACTTATTTCCCTAAAGAACTTTAAATGAGGACCCACATAATTTTCTCCAATTTCGCCAACTAAACATTCAAACTGAAAACCCATTGAAACAGAAACCCACTGCAATTGTAATATGAAAATCAAATATTCCCTGCAAGCCAAAAAGAAGCCCCCAAACTTTTTTCATGAGTGTTATATGAGTGCCTCTTACATCTTCTTGGTGTCATCCTCCGCTGGGCACCAGCCTTCTATTTCACACCTCTGAGCTTCGGTCACACACTTGCCCGTTATTTTTCCTACAAAAAAAGAGAACGCAGCGACGGAATGACCCCGAGGAGAAAAATACAAGACAACGATAAATGAGAGAAGAGAGGAGCAAATAAACAGAGAGGGAAAAAAACAGAAAAACTAGAACAACTATAAACAATCAGAGATAAAGAAAGAACAAGCAAACATACCACTTGCCAAATTTGAGGATAGATGTTTTTCACAGTCTTTATCAGTGCTACAGTTGAATTTTTTATCAGCCTAAGAAAGAGAGGAAAGTGTGGCTATGGTTATTTTATTGGAAGAGGGCGGATAGAGTAGTCTAATCCCAAACCCGAATGAAAGTGTGACTTCAGTGAAATAATGACCCATGTAAAAGTAATTTTTTAAAACATAAAACACCGTTCCAAAAATAAAACTTTAAACAAAGCTTAAACAATTACTTAAGTTCTGAGTAACTTCTAGAACTGCAGTGGAACTTCTTAGTTCAACGAGAATCTATCAGCACAGGAACTGAATTTCATCTCTGTTCTTTTTTCTTAAAAAAAAATTATGAACCTCAAAAGCCAGAGGGGCAGAGCAGAACAGATGCTGTCGCTATAAAATTAAAAGAAAAGGCAACAAAAAAAACTAAATGTAAAAATTAAATGTAACACGATGACAATGCTTCTGAGGACAGAGAACTAAAGAGGACTAGCTTAATTTTAATCAGCTTTCTAAATAATATTAATATAGTAATATTAGTGATGTTTTATTTACTTTTACTGTTGAAACAATGGATTATTATGGGCCAACCGTTACACTACTCTAGAAAAAATTCTGCACCATTAAAATTCTAAGCATTTTCCATACAGCTTAATTGTACCACAGGTAAGGTATCTATAGCTGTGTTCCATAGTGCCTCTTCTATAACAACAGAAAACAAGTTTTTAATGTAAAGCATGTGGCTTTGGAACTCACTCACTCACGCATGTTTAGCAGCCTGAAGATCCTCCACAATGGGGAGCTAATAGCACAACAAGTCGCTTTTATGTGCATCATTTAAAGAGAAGAGTCAACTAGAAACCCACACTAGCAAAAGCTTAGGCATGCACACATTTTCAGTATCAACTTTCAGCATCAGAGGTGGAAAGGTGTTGTGTTACTCAGGATTATATTATTTAATATTGATTTCATGAAGGATCATGCTTACATATACAAATAAGCTAAAGATGGCATAGAAAGTGAGGTCTAGGCTACAGCTTAGGGGGATGCTGGAGTGATAATTGTGTTGTTTTATCAAGAAAATATTGTTAATTATAATTACTTTTAGCTTCTATTTTAGAAGGTCTTACAAATCTAAGAGAAAAAAGTAGATTCCTTGCTAATATAGTTAGAAGTAATTGTATTACTCATTTGAAAATACCAATTACAGGACAAATCTGCAGACTTTGAGTGTATGTCTCTACTCTAAATATCATATCTGAGTACATTTAACCGAGTAAATATAACTAGTAACTACTTTTGATTACAGGCACCCATATATATTGGCCTCATTGCCTCATTATAACAGTTCAGCATGTGTGTGAGAGACTGACCTCATGGCAGCGTCCATGCGTCTGATTGCGTGTGATGACCATCCTGGTGATAATGCAGAACACAGAGGCGCCCTGCGAAATGCCACACAGTTCGGATTGCATGATGACCCACTCATACAGCAGCAATGGAGGACATAGTCTGAGTGTTGCTAACCTGTGGTGGTGTTACGTAGTCAGCCACGTCCATCAGATAATTGTCATAGAACCCAAAGCCTTTCACTTTAGTCATGACCGCTGACTCAATCCCTGTGTCACGGTCCTGATAGGCCTTCTCATAGAGAAACACATAACTATACACACACACACACACAGACACACACACACACACACACACACACACACACACACAGACACAGACACACACACACACACAGAGGAGAACAAAACCATCCACGACTCCTGTTATCAGATTACACATCAGTAATCATGCATCTCTTGACTTTTCAGATTGGCTGAAAGGAATCCCAGCCACCTAATCAAATTTGAGCTTTAAACTCATAATGTGTCCCTCAGACAGAAAGCATTTGTCTGACACCAAGACAAATGCAGTACAAATGGATAAAGACAAATTAGTGACTTCACATTTCAGCATAATAACTGATACACTGATTATATAGATGCTTGGAACCCATCAGACTGGCTTTCTGCCACAATATTTTTCATAACATCATTACATAAACTTCCTTTAAACTAATGAATGACTGAAATGTCTTTTGAAAATTGTTTAAAAATATTTGAGTTGGTAGTTTTTGTTGCCTGTAAAACACTATAACTCCAGGATAAATATAAATGATTAAGAATTTCTTGTTTTTTAAAAAAGTTCTTAATATCTTGGTTAGAAAATCACAGTTAGAAGAACAAAGGTTTGGTTCCTGACATCACACTGCACTCCAGTCCTCGCATGAATTTGTTCAATTCCATCAGCAGCACCCAATTTGACTTAATGATGCTTTGAGTAGATAAATTAGATACTGGAGGGTAACAATCAAATCTTAATCTTTTTAAATATAAAATATTTTCTTCAGAAAATATCGTTGCTATCCAATGAAAAACATGAATGTCCATTTTTTTAGATTTTTACTTTTCTGTGTCTTTTGAGCTCAGCAGCTGTCCTTTACATTGTGTGAAAATTTCATGATGATTGGACCAACAGAACTGCTCCAAAATTGCTTAGAATAAAATCTCTTTCTATTAACTTACATTGAAAGTAAAGAATGTTTTTGCCTTTTCCTGTAAAGTTACTATTTTGGAAATTGGACAGCGACGATATACAGGGTGATTCAAAAAGATTAATCCGATTTCACAATGATTTATTTCACTTGTAAATTATTACAGAACAATGCAGTAAATTGTTGACGAATTGCTGACGAAAATCACGTTGCACAGTAATGACAGATGCACTCTTATTGAAGTGGAGAAGGCAAAGCGCTTTCTGCTCAGGGGTCTCCATCTCCTCTCAGACTGAAGGGGTCCATCTTCCAGTGACAGTCAGAAACTCTATGACCCCCTCTTTCAGTTGGTATGCGATTGGTTCCTAGGTGCCTCACGGTTGTAAAAATATGGCGCTTTGAAATCGGATGAATCTTTTTGAATCACCCTGTATTTCTTACACCTAGGGTTAGGGTTAGGTTACATCTAGGAATAATAGTTCTTTGGACTTTGAGTGACTTTTGCATTATAGTAGTTTTGATATGTAGTGATGAATCAGCTATTTTATATATATATAAGGCTAAGAGTAGAGAGAGGGAGAGACAGAGAGATAGAAAGAAATAGATCTCATATCTTAGACAGTATATATATATATATATATATATATATATATATATATGTATATATATATATACTGTCTAAGGTATAGCTGCTTTCTATTTCTTTCTATCTCTCTGTCTCTAGAAATTGATTTTTATTTCAGTCATCAAATAAAAACACAGTCACACATAAATGAACTGCTTTTTTTAACTAGTATTATTCTGTTAGCACTATTAATTATTATTATGTTAGCACTGGCATAACTAGCTGTGAGGATATCGAGTTCTGGGCCTCTGGTAATATGTTGGAAAAGTGTAGCCTATGTGGAAAAGCTTAAATTCCAAGATCATCCCATCAGTAGTGACAAGACTGACCTCAGCTGTGGTTTGCCCATAGACTTATTGCCCACTATGTTCCACTATGGCTCTGGATGAGACACTACAACTATTAACCCTTTAGGCTACAGCTCTGAAATAAATGTGAAAGTTTTCATGAAAATATAAGACATAACTTAGACAACCCCCAAAATGTATTCTTTATATTGCTCTTAACATTGCCAGCTAAATCGGCATTTGGCAGGTGGTGTTAGTGGATAACACTTCATTTAAGCAGTAATGCTACTGCTAGCTCAGTAAGAGTCCTGTATAAATCTACTGTTTAAATAAAATAACTTGATTTACTTGGACAATACAAATAATGACAATGGGTTTGATTTAATTCATAGGCCTCAACATGTATTTTCAGCATAAATTAATTGGTCAATAAACAGTTCAATAATTAACTGAATAGACAAAATTAAAAAGTATAACTGGATTCAAAGTAGTTTTTGGAAAATTGGAGGGAAATAAACAAACAAAATATGTACACAGGTAAAACTGCAGTTTTGAAAAACATGAAGGAGATCATAAATTAGCACTTTGTATAGTAGGTATATTTGGCAGTGTGGTTTATGCGCTGTGTGAAGTAGGTCACATTTCTGGAACATGGACCTGTTTACAGCCCTGATTGTTAGTGAGATTTTTTTCTTGAACAAATATATCCGCACTGTTGGAACAAAACCTTGTATCTTCATTTTTTTGTGTTCTCCATTTTCCATTTTTTTCATATCACACAAGTAGCTCTTTCCACTGTGTCAAATTTTCGATGAATGGACCGAAATAGGGCAAAATGAATTGGAATAAGGCCTTGCTCCATTACCTCCATTAAAAGTTAATGATCTCTCTCTATCTCTCTCTCTCTCTCTCTCTCTCTCTCTCTCCCCCATCTCAGGCCATTTCCGTTGGTCCATTCATCATGAAATTTTCACACTATGCGTAAGGGCAGCTTGTATCTTCAAACTGGGCAAAATAAATAAATAAAAATGACAAAAATGAAGATATGAGGTTTCGTTTCAACAGCACTGATGTTTACATTTGCATTGTTAAAATTCCCATTAACCTTACAATAGTGCATTTTACTAGTTCTTAAGATCAGAGGTGTCCAAATCTTTCATCCTGGGGGGCCAAAGTGCTATATTTGTGGTGGGCCGAGGGCCAAAAAGCAAAAAGCAATATAAAAATAATGACGGTAGGCAGATTTCAAACTGAGTTTTTAAAAATGTATTTTACAACATTACAGTATATTTTGCTGCTTGAATATTTCAAATAAAAACTTGAAGGAAAATAGGAATTAAATACATTAATTATACTATAAAAGTTGGTTTGTCCTCTTATTTGGTGAACAGGTGGGATTGATAGCCCTGATTTAGATATGATATGAGCTACTACATCTTATTTGCAATTGTTGTTTTCATTTGGATTTGCACTTTGTGGACAATTCCTACAGTTAACACAGTTTTTTACAAAGAATGAGATGAGTTAGAATTTCTTTTTATCATATTTCAAGATTGACTTTCTACTTTTTGCTATGTACGAAGTACTTTCTATATTGACATTTTATGATGTTACCATTTTAACACACCAACCCAAATCTAACACACATTAGTACACAGCAAAATGCTTTTCTAATTCTAAAATCAATATTATAAATATTACGACATTTTTTTGTAACATAACATCTAATGTAATAGAACATTATTGCAATCACAGGAGCAAGTACGTTAACTTTATTTAGCTCTTACCCAACAAAGTAAATGATGATGAGCGCCTGGACAATGCGGTTGATGATGCCCAGCGACCTTCTCTTGACCACCACTGACTTGGTTGTCTCATAGGTGAAGAAACTGCTAGCACAGTCCAACATACTGGGTTCAGGCAGTGGAGCTAGAAGCTGGAGTAACAGGTGTGATAAGCTCTGATTTGGGTCCAGATATTTTGTGAAGAAAAAGCAGCAAAGTGTCTCCTGGAGCTTCTGCTTCTGCGGAATGAGGATCAGGACACTCTGCTTCTTCCACTAAATGCTGGAATGAAAAAATAGAAAGAGGCCTAAATGACCATTACCACCAGTCTCTCTACTCCTTCCCTCACCACGCCCCCCCCGCCCAGCCTGGTCTCTGGGGTTCCCCCATTTCCTTAATGATCTGTCGTTCATTTGCCATCCTCCCAGAATCATCTAAACAAAGCGTGAGAGAGCAAGAGAGAGAGAGAGAGAGAGCATATACTCTCAGCCAATCACTACAGCTCTCTACAGACCACAGAGAGATAAGTAGTTGCAATATGTACAATTAATATCAGCGCCGCCTCTCTAAAAATACAGCTTTAATTTCAATGTAGGTACTTAATAAATTAGCAAACAATTAAATAAGCAAATTTATTTAGGCACTCATGCGCTTTTTCAAACTGCTGCATAATGTAATGGCTGAGATGTAAACAAAGTCATTCAGAGTGGTTTGATATGAAATGAGGTTAAGATGCCTATAATGTAAATATAAGTGACCCTTATTAGTCCCACAACGGGGAAATTTCATCTCTGCATTTTAACCCATCTGTGCAGTGAAACACCCACATACACACTAGTGAATGCACACACACTAGGGGGCAGTAAGCAAACTTGTCCGGAGCGGTGGGCAGCCCTATCCATGGGGGGGTTAGGTGCCTTGCTCAAGGGCACTTCAGTCAAGTTCAGGCTCAGGGAATTGAACCGGCGACTTTCCGGCAACAAAGCTGGTCCCTTTAAACCACAGCTGGTCCCCCTAACCCACAGCTGGCCCCCAGCCCACAGCTGGCCCCTATAGAGGCATTTATTTGCTGTCCACAATAACCAGTGAACCTACACATGTCTTCTGTGCTTCTATATATCGCTGCTGTCGGGACAAAACCTTGTATCTTCATTTTTGCCATTTTATGTTTTTATGTTTTTTTTATTGTGTGTAATTTTCATGCTGAATGGACCAAAAAAATGGCCAAAAATGACATGGGGGAAAAGTCTGGTTGCATTGACTTACATAAAAAACAAAGAAGTTTTTTTTCCCTCTCCTGTAAAGTTAGCATTTTGGAGATACAAGGTTTTGTTCTGACCACAGCGATATAAGATCTTCGTGATGGTTAAAATAAGTAAATCCAAAATTCTTTTGCCTTTAAACATCCTGCATATTCTTCTCTGTTATGAATGGATCTCATGATGTTTTTTAGTACTACTATCTTAAGCATCAAACAATCTAACCATTCTTAACCATTCTGAGCAATGGTTTTCTATAAGAGCGCTCTTTAAAGACCTCTTTGGTGGTCTGGATCTTATCACCACCACTTTGAACGATTCCGACTTAGTAAGGTTCTCCAGAATTGAGAGTTTCACAACAAACCACTCTGAATGACTTTATGTACATCTTATTCATTCAATTATGCAGGCTTTTAGGAAAACCAGTTGAATTCCCATTTAATATTGAGTTTGTTCCCCTTTACAGTAACAGCCTGTAATCTTTACTCTAGATGTTGGAACATTGCTGTGAGGATTTGATTGCATTCAGCCACAAGAGCATTAGTGAAGATGTTGGATGATCGCAACTCATCCCAGAGGGATTGGATGGAGCCCCATAACTCCAGAGAACACAGAGAGCACAGATGCTTGGACATGTGCAACTTCTCCAGAACACCCCTTTCTATTGGCAGTACTTTTATATGGGGATTAAACAAGCCATGTGTCCAACTGAACACCTGTGTCAGCGATGGGTGCTCCAACTACATTTACTAATTGAAATGTATGCCTAGATGCTTTTAGACATCTAGTTTATTAACCTCTGCTCACCTCAACACCCACAGCTTGGGGTGTGTACTAAAAGGGCTACAGTAATCAGAAAATTGTGTACTTATTGGCAGTGACATCACGCTTCCTCTCGGCTAAAGTGGACCCATTATGTTTGTGGTCAACTATAGAGCCAATTACATGCTAAAAACGCTTTCAAGTGACCAGGGGGACAAAACGGATTTGACTTCCCATAAATCACACAGTCCAAGGACAGGCGCATATACTGATTAGTGACTACTTACCCTTAAGGGTTGTAGTGTAGCTTCCAAACTCTGTGACATTCAGTAACACCCACGAGACCAATGGGGCCACACTGAAAGCAAGAGAGAAGGAGAGAGAGAGAGAGAGAGTGAGTGAAACATTAACAAGCACTTGGTCTTTTCATGCTTTAATGGCATTATTTCTCTCTCCACCTCTTGGCAGAAAACAGGCAGAGAGACGGAGAGCGAATAAGGAATAAACACTCCCCCGTCATCCCAGGATTCGATTAGTGCTGGAGAAAACAAAGGGAAATGGCTCCATCTCTCTTTCTCCATCATATTAAAAAAAACACACACACATATCCCACACTCTCTTTTATCACCCCATTCTCCTGATGACATATTAAACACACACTGTCTCTTACTGCCAGTACATCATATAAAAAACCACACACTACCTCTTTCAGGCCCATTACTGTTCACTCTAGCTTTCACAGAGGCAAGATTCTTAGCTTTGTAAACACGCTGGATTAGCTTTTATCTTCTATCTGATAACTCTCCTACACGCACATGCACAGATGAACGCTTCTCTTAGAGGAATGCGCTGATCCAGGATCAGATTCCTCCAGAGTTCGCAGTCATTTCAAACACAAGAAAAGCTGATTCAAGATCAGACGACTTGTGAATACAGACTGTGAATCCATTACAGAATGGGTGCCCAGTGCTGATATCTACAGTCCAGCACAGTTTAGCTCCCGCCTTTTAACACATCTGTCTCAGATATTCATTACTATTGAAGAGCTGGGTTTACTGGCTCATTTATGTTGAGCACAGAAGGGCTAATGAAATATTAATAAGAATTCAACAGGAGCTCAAAATCTTTCTGTTTTCAAAATAATCTTTGCCAAAATTTCCCAGATAGCAAGCATAAACCACCCTTCTGACAGTATGCTCTGCTTGGACCACCCAGGTTGCTGTTCTACGGACAAGGTCCAACTAGTTTAAATCCACATAGCCTTTTAGTTCGGAAAATAAGACAAATAGTACATATAATTCAGAGGAAATAATTAAAGACTAGGCCTAATACAAAATTATTTTGTTAAAATCTGACTGTGCTAAATTAAAATTATTCGTGAAACTAATTTACAAAGGATAACCAAAAAAAAAACAAAGAAATGAAGGAGAAATAAGTAAACTGGACTGTGAGTGTAAATGAGCGATAAAAAGCGGCAAGACTCCCTTTAACCACCAGTGGGCCGCCCAGGAAACACTGAGCAAAAAGCCAGTGGGCCAACAGTGGCCGACTAACCTCTTGCTATCTGGGTTGTTTTACATCCTATTCTTATTATATCTATACATTATTTTCTTTATGCAATACGTAAAACTACAGTTCACAACAGTGTTGAATTCTTCACACTGACAAAACCATTTTGCCTTTTGGTCCTTAGTTCTTAAAAGGGCCCCATATGTCTTAAAAATAAGTCTTATTTTCCTCAGTTAGCATAATTCTAGCTAGCTAATTCTACCTAGCTAGCTTTTAGGCAGCAATCAAATAAAGCAAATAATCAATTGTATTTTACTAATAGTGGTAACAGCATATGTGGGTAAAAAACGTGCCAAAAGAGCACAAAAAGAGGATGAGTGACCATGTTAGAGGTATTTCTCAACAGGTTATTGTAGTGGTTAGCTAGCATGATATAGTGGCTAACCTTAGCGGTTAACCAGTGTGAAATATTCAAGCAACACTACACAAATAACTGCTAAGTCAACTTTAGGAAGCATACCTAAGTTCTCATTGACCTATTTAGACCAGATATTCCCTCAACACTTTATACGACACATCATACATCAATGTTATATTAAAGAAACATGTCGCTGCTGTCGGAAGAAAACCTCTCATCTCCATTTTTGTCGTTTTTCAGTTTTTGACATAATTTGAAAATGCCTGTTGTCCTTTACATTGTGTGTAGATTTCATGAAGAATAGACCAAAAGAAACAGCACAAAATGACTTGGAAAAAACTCTGGTTCCACAGACATACATTAAAAGTAAAGTAGGTTTTTTCCTTTTTTTTTTGTAAAGTTATCATTTTGGAGTTTTCTTCCGACAGCAGCGATATTGAACTGCTCCATAAGCTCATTCTAATTGCACTACTGTTTATAATTGCACTATTTATACCCACAGACCTTAATCTGTATGTGCCTTATGTCACTTATGTCACTTTATTGTTAAATTCAGGGACCTTCTTATATTTATTTTTTTATTATTCTATTTTTTTTTTCAATTAGTGTTTAGTGTTTATTTAGTGTCTATTTAATTCACATATTTCCTGTTTACTGTCTATTTAATGTTATTGCTACACCAACGGGTCTGAGAGTAACCCAATTTCAATACTCTGTATGTCCTGTACATATTGTAGTATTGACAATAAAGCTGACTTGACTTGACTTGACTTGATATACAAGGGTTCCATAGTCATGGATGATTTAAGGGTCACCAAAGGTCCTCAGATTGGCTGGCCTCAGTGATCTTATTAGCTAGCTAAGTACACCTGTAAGGCAATTCTTCTTTTTTTTTTTGTTGGAGAAGTTAGAATAGCGTACAATCACCACACAGCTTCTCATTCTTGTTCATTGAAATGTACGATCAGAATGTGGCAGCATGCTCATAAACCTAATTTCAGATTAAACATATATCATTTGTATGTGTGCAAGTTTACCAGTTACATACTTGTTAGTCTGGATGCTAGTCTTATTTTCATGTTAGAAAAGCATGATTGAGGCAATTTACAGCAAAAAATGGGGCCATGGGAAGGGGGTTCCTAGGAAATTTCAAGGAGGCAACATGGGGCCCTGGAAAACATAGGGCTTTTCCCAAACTTGAAGGGAGGAATACAGGCCTTAGGGCTTTGGGCTCCTGCCTAGACATTTTAAGAAAGGGCCTTGGGAACATAGTGATGGCCCCTAAACTCACAGAACAGTTACCACAGTTAAGTTAGCATAAGATTAAGGTAGCTAACTAATTCACAATTTCTTTTTGTCTTCACACTAAACATAGCATGAAGGAATCAAGTCTAAGACAGTGTCAACAGTTTGCCTGTTGTGGGGCTGATCGATTGTTTTTGCTGATCCCTCATTATACCTTGGTCGCCACCTCTCTTTAATCATTGGTAGCTTGCCTGGCTTTCATAAATGTTGGCAAAGCAGTTTTTCCTCAGTAGCTTTAGTGTTTATCATGTAGATTGGATAATCATGACTCATGACCGGTTTTGAGGCTGATCTGAACGTACCAAACTGAGTTCACATTTCATTGCAAATGAGAACGCAAGACCTCTTATCTGCTTGTGGCCAGCAATTTGTAGAGAATCAACTGCAACAGACATCCATTACTGTAAGACTATACTGCTAGAGCTACTGAACTCAAGACCATCTGATTAAAACAACAGACAGACGGACGGCTGGGACCCGTGCTCATTATATTGCTGCACCCTGATGATGTCTAATAGAACATCTTCATTTTGAAAAGATGTACAATGAGAAAACAGAAGCCATTGGAGAATACTGGACTGACCGTTGGCCTGTTGAGGCTAAACTGTGAAAGCTTTTCCTCAAACACACACTAAACAGGATTAAGTTACACTGGCAGTGGAGACTGTCCATAAAAGACATGCATTTTTTAACCAAAATTATAAATTAGGCTAAATCTCAGCCTTGAGACCAGTTTCAAACCTATTATATTAAATTGGTTTTAAAATGGAGGCAAATGACTGCACTTAAGTGTGCACAGGTACACAGCTCACAACAGAGATCAAGCAGACTTCAAACTTTATTACAAAACATTTATTAATCTTGAGACAGGATGACAGCTGAAAGTAGAAAACGCATCTATTCAAATCAAACATCTTATGGCCTGAAGTACAAGATATTAATTGAAAAAGGCAGAGAAAAATACTACTGAAAGAGCTAGAGTTCCCTGAATTTTTCTCAAATCTACCAATAATATAGAAAATAATGTCAATAAAGGGCTCTAGTTGGGCTGTTGTACACACAATTGCAATTATTAAAAAGAAAAAAAAGGCCTCAGCTACCCGCCTCTCCTCAGATCTTGGTCCATAAAGTGGAAAAGAGACAGAATGTAAACTTGTGCTTAAAATGCACATCATGCGGTGAGACAAACTCCTGGTCCAACGAAATGCTTTTGTGTGTACAGCTGAGTGCATGTGTGTGTTCTGTGACTGTGTGATGCCTGAGAAGTTGTAAAAATGTGCCATTGCAGATGAATGACTTCAGTCAGATCCTGACTCCTCCTCTGAGCTTGGTGGTGTAGAGGCAACCTCTTCCTCCTCTTCATCTTCATCATCAGACTGCTAGAAACAGAAAACAATGAAGAAATGAGAAAATAAGTGAAAAAAAATATCACCTACAGTTTCTCTCAATTCCTATATCACAAAAATTGGAGTCTTTCTCCTCTAAAGCTAAGTGTACACTTTTAAAATCCTAACATTAATCCTAATATCACAAACCTAACATCAGTTTTTCAGAGAATTTCTTGTATCTCTGTTGTGAGGGCACGCACACTAGATCATAAGCCAGAGAGAAGATATCACACATAATGATGCAACTACGTAACTGTAAAACTATGAAAAAGCACTCAAAATCGCAGATCTCCGCAGTTATCAATGTGACTGGACTTGTTCATGATTTTACGGACACACAAGAAGCACAGCGCAAACACAAACTAAGGATGAATGTTGGGGTGAGAACCATATCACAGTGAGAGCTGGAGAATATTTCACTACAACTGGCAGGTGAAATTTGGGACTTCACATCTGGATCCACACATCATAAAGATGTTAAAGGGTAGAGAACAAAAAAAAAAAACAGACTACAGCCTCTGACCAAACAAGTTTTACAGGGCCCTCTGGTGGAGTATAGAGCTTAGACATGAGCTCCTGAGCTGGATCTGTGGCATGTTGCGCTGTTAACCTCCCAGCTAAACTAGCGCCAGCACCTAGTGCTTACTAGGACAGTAAAGTGGTGCTGGTTTTGGAGCAAGTGCCAGCTTAGCTAAGAGGTTAACAGCACAACACACCAGTGGGGCATCAGTTAGCCCAGCTGGTGACCGTAGCGGTCCCTACTCCGAGCTGGTCAGTCCTGATGTCCTCCGATCTAGGTTGTCACTAGGTGCTGTTTAGCTACTGCAATGATAGCAGTCAGCTAGCTGCTACTAACTGAGCTGTGCCCTGTCCATATAGCCTCCCACTTAAGCGAACTTCAGCAGCACAAAAACACTTGGAAATTTTTTTTTGTCAAATCTTTTTTTGACATTTATGTACAAAAAGTAGGTATCCACGAATCTGCTGGGGGGAATGCCATGTCCACCACATCGGAATTGACCACGTCTTGTTTTATGTGATGCTCTTAGCCTACCGGCACCTGGTGCTGTCTAGGACTGAGTTGGTTGTGATGAAAGCGCTAGCTTACTGCTTATCGCTAACAGCACTACATCATATTTTGAAGTTTAGTAGATGTGGGACAAAAAAAAATGTGACAGCATTGCTATTTTAAAATAGTAATAATTTTCAAATAGCACAGAGACATATTACCGTGACCCCTCACGACACTCAAACGCCCACGTGAGCCGTTACCTTGCGCTTTTTGCTTTTGCCTCGGTCAGAGTCGGATGAGCTCTCCTCACTGGAGATGAACTCTTTGCTCTTAAAGCTTTCGTTTCCTCTCTCGTACTCCTTGTCTCCTCCACTCTTCCTTTTCTTTGCCTCCACTTTGCCTCCTTTCTTTTTCTTCTCTCTGTCACAAAGCAGAGAAACACAATAATTATAACTGGTAGTGAAGCACAGAGGAATAAGGTGTATGAAAGACTGAAATCTGGCTCTACAAATAAAAACTGAAGTTAGGAATCTTGATGTAACTATAGACTCTGATTTAACTTTTAAACCACAATACCAAAACTGCCTTCTATCATTTAAGAAATATAGCACAAGTTTGACTATCTCTGTCTGCAAGACGCTAAGAAATTGGTCCATGGTTTTGTGCAGCAGCAAGAATATTAACCTTTTCTTTAGAACTGACTAAAATTTTACTACTAGTTTTAATGGTTTAGCACCTTTATATATTTCTGAGTGCCTGATAGATTATGTTCCAAATCAAGCTGTAAAGTCATCTAGTGAAAGCCTTCTCCATATTCCATGTATGAACCTTAAAAAACGGAGAGGCAGCATTTTGTTTTTATGCACCAAAGATCTGGAACACATTACCTATAAACATTGTCAGGCTCCGTCTCTTTAAAAAAGTTAAAAACATATTTCTTTACTTTAACGTTTAACTAGTTTTTATTGTTTCCTTTTTTATTAGAATATTACTGTTTCTTTTATTTTCTTGTTAGTTGCATGCTATATAAAAAAAAAGATTATTTTTATTATTGCATTTTAAAAAATCCCCACACGTATGCAAGCATATGCTCATTTATAAGAGTGTGCGAGCAATTAACTCACTTGACAGCAGAAGATGCGGCTCCTCCTCCAGACTCCTTATATTCTCTCATTGCTTTGTCATACTGTTTTTTAGCTTCCTCTGCCTTCTTTTCCCACTCCTAGGGAAAAGGGACAGATGAGAATGAGAAATGTGTGAGAGAAGAAGGACATGCACTGATTTGTCCCTGTATTAATAATCACTTACAACCAATC